TCTAAACTCCTAAAATCCCCTTTAATAAACCCTATAGCAATTCCCCTATATTACTCATCCCCTGAATAAGCCCCTTTTAGGAGTTTAGACTACAGCTCATATAAATTGGGCACTTGGTTGGTCATTCCATGACCTGTTGCCCTAAACCCAAAGACCCCCTAAACCCTACAAACCCTACAACCAATGACTCCACCTCTGACCTCCGAAAAACCAACAAAGACGCTAACCTACACCTTGTAGTGACTCGCATTCGACAATCCCCAAAGAGCTGTTTAACCCTAAACCCTAAACCCTAAACCCTAAACCCCTAAACCCTAAACCCTGAACCCTAAACCCTAAACCCCAAAGCCTAGAAGCTGAAGGCTCCAAATTGATGGCATCTGCTGTAAGCCTTAGGATCTTCGGGGTTTAGGGGTGTTTCGGGCTTAGGAGCTGTGAGGATTTAATCGTTAGGATACATCGTGACCTTTTTGACAAGGTTTAGCCATAAATCCTAAACGCTTAACACCAAACCCTCGACCCTACACGCTAGAACCCAGAAGGTTGTTACATGGCTACTGCCGGGGCCTGCATAATTACAAACCTCATCTTGAGGTCGATTTGACTTCGACTATGCAATATAGGTTTAGGGTTTAGGGAGTTACGGGTCTAGGGTTTAGGGTAAAAGCCTGCTTGGCCTTTGCTATGGGTTTCAGGATTATTTCACCTACTTTTGCGCTCTAGCTACCCTAAACCCTAAACCCAGAACTACCGACTTTGGCCGCAGAGATCACACGGAGTCTGTTTTGAGCTTGCCTTCGCTGGCGGTTTTTGTCGCGTGGCGCGGGATGCACCGCGCCAGAGCTTCGAACTACCACTCTCTGCAAGGGCTGGCATTGCAGTCTGTCAAAGGGGGTCTATATAGTGAGCATTGTATAAGGTTTGGGGATTAGGGTTTAGGGTCTACACTCCTTAAAAGGGGGGGAAGCAGGGGAATATACAGGGGAGCATGATAGGGGTTGTTAAGGGAGATACTAGGAGTTTAGACCCTGGGGCTCTTATATGGTTGCTGTTTGGATTTGCTATGTTTTCAAGATAAGGGCTTGAAATATACTACCCAAAAAAGAAACATATGCACAGGAGGGCTTTCGGCAAACATAACTTTAAGCTCTAAGCCCGAATCTGAAACCTGAAACCCTGCCGCAGGTGTGCAGATCATTGACTGGCAATTATTTTGGTGTCTTAGGGTTGGTTTGAATGAGCTAGATTCCATGAAACACCGCTGTGAAACAATCACAAGAATGTCAGGGAATGTGGCAGTAGAATGCCCCTAAACAAGGTAATTTGGCTTACCTCTCCCCAGAAACCGTCGAAGGATATGTACCACAACACCGGAGGGCACAGCCCTAAAAAGGGCGGGTTCTGTAGAAATCCGCCGGGCCTTTTTTTTCAAAATGAATGGGATTTGAGGTGGTTTAAGGTTTAAGGATTTTTGCCCAAGCCTGCAAGGATTTCGGGTTTAGCTGCTTCTGGTCATAATGCTGTTTGGGGCGTGCAACAAACAGGATGAGAGATGGAGATCAGGGAGTACAAATGGCTGGGGGAAGCCCCTATAAATCCTGAAGCCCCTACACCCTAAACCCTAAACCCTAAACTACTAAACCCCTAAACCTGTCAGGGAGGCCACACGGATGTTGAGAAGCTTCAATGCTTTAGGTTTCCATGATATTTTCCATTCTCTCTATTGGAATTATATAAGCCTTTCCCAGGGATAATGAAAAAGAACATGGAAACTACTCTACTGGACTATACCCTAAACCCTAAACCCTTGACCCTTAACCCGGGTTTAAGGTTTAGGGAAACTGAAGATCCCATGAGCTTGTGGCTCTCAATTGCGTTGCAGGCTCCCTACTGCATGGCATGCCTCAAAAAGGTTTGACAAGTGTGGAGCCTTGGGCTTAGAGTTGGTTAGGGTTTAGGGTTTAGGGGTCTAGGGCTCTAGGGGTTTAGGGTTTAGGGGTTGAGGGCTTAGATGATGGCTCTTTTTGTTTGAAGGTTGAAGGTATGGCTGACGGACCCCGACTATGAAACGTCTTTTCATCGACCATCTGGGCCCTCCTGCACCAGGGAAGAGATCATGTTGAGTGAACATCAAACTAGGTCCAAGTATGGATTTTGGCGCCAATGGCAGAACTACATTGATACCCCTTATCTCTAGACCCTACACCCTAAACCCTAACCCCCAAACCCTAAACCCCACACCCTAAACCTGAAGGGTATGGGAAATCATCCCACTCAGACCCCCCAAAATGCACTCACCAATATACCTAACAGGCTTAGGGTGTAGAGTACACTGACCCAACACCATAACGAACACCCTAACCCTTGAACCCTAAACGCTAAAACCTAAACCCTCAACCTTAAGCCCCAAACCCTAAGCCCCAAACCCCTAAACCCATAACATATTTGGACTTCACTTCTTTTGAGGCAGGTCCCTTGCCATGTTGCCATGATCTAGGTCTCAGCAGCAGGCAAAGCTGTACTTGCCATGCTTTAGATGCAGATCCACATTGCTAGCGTCCAAGTTTGGATCCCATTTTTGTACCCCTGAGTATTAGGTGCTGCACTATAGGTTTAGGTTTAGGGCTTAGGGTAGGGAACCATAATTCTAGTCTGGCCCCAATGTATCCTGCTTATGAATCTTCTTCTTGTCTTGAAGGGGGTACAACGCTGAGGATACAACCCGGAGACCCATCTCTAAGGTACCCGAGGTAGATATGGGGGTTTCCCAAAGTTAGTAATACTCTTTTGGAGGCGGTCCAATATTAAAAGGATTATGGTATTTTGGGGTCTACATTGGGGTCCCTTATTTCGGGAAACTACCATATAATTTCTGGTTACAAGAGCTACTTTGTAGATACAAGGTCAAGGCCCGCACAACTAGATCAGGGCCGTAGGGTATGCCACAATTACATGCTAAACCCCCAAATCCGAAGCCCTGAACCCTAAACCCGTATCCCTAAATTCTAAACCCTACACTTAGAATCCTAAGCTTATGGGAAATCGCTCGCGCTTTTGTGGTATCTAAATTTGCCTGGGGCATCGTACACCTTGCGACCCAGTACAACGCCAAACCACACCCCACGTTTTGAGTTTAGCTTTGGTCAATCACCCACCCAGTAATGGGCACCACAAAAGAAATATTGTGGGTATACCAAGGCCCTATTACATCCAGATCTAGGGGCAATTACAATGGGGGGGATAGACCTAAGGTTTGGCGTTTTGAATTGAGAGATTTTATTGAATACCTAGAACTCTAGACTCGATCTTCTGAGGCCGGCCGATATGTTCTAAACTCAGAAGAACCCTTCGGTCCATCCAACTCCACAGAAACATCCTATAATCTTTTAATAAGTATAGCCGTGGAACTGCCTGTAAACCCTGAATCCCAAACCGTCTAATCCTATGCCTTTTCTTTTGATTTTCTGCATCCCATTTTCAGGTCATCTCATTGTTGCTGCGGCGCAAACCACCCCTCACAGGGCATAGTACATTCCAAGCAGCAATGCAGTGGCCTAAAGAAATAACTATTCATATAAGGGGCCACAATGGGGTGTACAGAGGAATTGTAATGTCAGTGCCAGAAACAGAATAATTTGGGCAGTCCTGTAAAAAATGAAAATGCAATGGACAACTGGGCTGGGTTCTATATACGGGCTCATAGGATGATTAACAACATGGGAAAAGAGACTTTTGCTCAATCACCAGGACCCTGATACTCCATGTTGAAGCGACCTAGAGGATGGAGACTGAGCAGGTCATGCAGGCACTCATTTCATTCGAGGATTTGGGATTTAGGGTTTGCCTGCCTGGCACTCCAAAGTACGCAAAGCAATCGCCTTTATGGCTGTCATTATGGGCTTAGGGCGACTATTTTACATACTTTTGGTGTTAAGGCAAGGTCTAGGGTAGTTCGAACACCGTTCTGGGGTACAATTAATCTTGAACCTTCCGCATATATAGATATGCCTCAAGTTGCCAAAGAGATTTTGACCACGAATTGTGACTTCTGCATATGAGCTGTAGTCCGAACTCCTAACATCCCCCTTAATAAGCCAGAAAATACTCCCCTATACAACCTCCTCTAATAATTTACGGAGTATAAAAAACTCATATGAGAGATCCTTCCCATCCCCTAGAAAAGTAATGCTCTGAGGTGAGACCCCCACGGAGTTTAGGGTCTAGGGCTACTGCAATCCCTGCAAGCCCCCGCCATGGGGCTGGCGACATCAACCCCTAAACACTAAAAAAGGACAGTCTTACACCCTGCACCCAAACCGCAGACTCCAGATCCTGAGCCCTTGACCCTAGGCCCCAAACCCTGAATACTACGTCCGGAACCCTAGGCCCTATAAACGTCCAACCCTAATCCCTAAAAGGTCAACCCTGAGCCCATTGGGCACCCTAAGCCCTAAACCCGCAGCCTTAAACCCACGAGCCTTGAGCCCTAAGCCCAAAACCCTGAAGTAAGCCGAGAGACCTTAACCCTGCAAGGGCCATTGCCAACCCTAAGCTCTAAACCCCAAACCCTGAACCCCAAGCCCCCAACCGCTAAACCCCAACCCCGAAACCCCAAACCCCGAAACCCTAAATCCCGAACCCAAAACCCGAAACCTCCAACACTAAGCCCTAAACCCTAGACCTTAAACTAAGTGAGGGGTCGCTGCCGTCAAGCGACAGACCCCGAACGCTGGCCGAGGGCTCACAGC